AAATCTCTCTAAAGAAGCTGCAAATTGGACATTAAACCAAACATTGTAAGTAGTCTTTGAGGTGCTATCAAAAAAGCAAAGGGGAAAGGGAAAAAGGGAAAAATATATATAAAAAAATGGAAATAAAGTGTTTGTAAATGAGGAGGGGAGGAGGGGGTGAAGGGAGGGCAGGGACAAGGGGAAAAAATGAGAACCAAGACCTGTCATGTAAAGGTACAAGAACCCATTGATGAATGTAATGGTACTGTACACCTAAAATGTGCCAATAAATTCAATGAAAAAAAAGCAAAGGGAAAAAAAACTGCCAGGAAATACTATACTATTTTGAAAATAGAGACAAAAGGATCTCTGGGAAATTAATAAGCACTACACTGATTTCAATTGACATTTTAGAATTTTTAAATACCAAGGAATAAGTGTGGAGAACATAAAGAAACAATGATCACTAGAAGACAAAAACAGCTCATAAAACTAAATTTGACTCAACTCATTTTTTTCAGTATTTGTCAGCACCCTAGCAGGAAATACACAGCACACACAAGAAAAGAATGTGAGGAAAGGGTTACAAGTAACCTAGAGAGACAGTGAGGCAACTGTGGGGAACTGAAACCACCTGTAGCAAGACTAGCTATGTAACTTGCAAGGCTCTTCATTAAAAAACTTCAAAAGAGAAACTACAGAATATTAATTAAATCATGGAACTCTACAATCTCAGAGGTTGCAAGGCCCCAGTCCTTAGGTTTGAAGCTGCAGGGAAGCAGATACCTATAAAAATAGAGAGTTGTAGCTGTCTCTTCAGCTGAAGGAGAGCCTGTTTGACCAACATTTCAGCCATTGGTAAAGCTAAGGCTCTTATGCTAAACTACTGATTATCTGTGGATATGAAGAGAGGCATTTGGGAAACTACATACCAAAATCTCACTTTTTTCTTATCCTTATGCAATCTCCTGCCAGTTCAAGAGAGTGGAATCCATAAAATGCACAGAAGACAGCTTCGGGGATATAAAGCAGAATAGAAAATGGATTGGGAGAAACAGGGCAATTATCCTTCATATATTTGCAAGGTTATGCTGTTACAACCATGAAACCTGGTAAGCCTACTCCAAAAGACTTTAGAAAGGTATGTAATACTTTTGAGTGCTGCTGTGAATACGATGGAAAAATATAACATAGAAGCAAAGAACCCTATGTGGATCAATAATGGATTAATTATATCAAAATCTACTGAACACTGGATAAGTGCAAACCTGAAGGAAGTGTTATGTGTGCCCCAGTTTCTTATCCTTTCCTACCTAGCTAAGTATTTTTACTCTGGGCCTCCAGATATAGATGGGATACTTATCAAGCATGGTTTGCAAATTGCTGAAAAGGATATCAAGTAATCAAGAATAAAGAGAATCCAAAAAGAATAAAAGAACCAAAAAGATCTTGATTGGTGATAGCAATGGAATAAAAAAGATCTTGGCCAACTTTACATTTGCTCCCAAATTTAAAAGCCAGTGGCATAGGTTTAGGACAGGGAATATTTACCACGTATTAAAGTGACTCAGACAAATTTAGTGGAAGACAGCCGATTGTGAGTCATGAGTGTGGTGGATTTTCCAAAAAAAGCAGATTAGATTTTAAGTCGCATTACTTTAACAAAGAAGGTGATAATCCAAACATGGATTGCATTGATCAAACTACACCTGGAAAATTGGGCTTATTCTGAATGTCATATATGATTTGTAATGCATTCTGAGAAGAGTAATGAGAAATAGGGAAGAGATTCAGAAATTAGACTACATGTGTGTACCACCATACCTGGCTTCTATCCATATATATATTAAAGATTGCTAGGTGGAAGACTAATTATCATGGCCCTCTGATATCTCAAGGAATAAAACAGAGACCTTAAAGACAATCAATGAGATATTTGTAATGGTCCTATTTTCTGAGGACAAAATAGACTGCCATGGAAAGCAGACTTTCTTCTGACTAAACATGAATGAAGACAAAAAACACAGGCTGGATGACTCATTAGTAGACTGTTACTTAGGCAATTGAAGCTTTCTATGGCTTTTAGAATCATTTTTAAAGATCTCCTCCAGGGATGCATTTTCTTGGTTTATCTTTCATTCTACCAGCATTTATTGAGAACCAGCTATGTAACGAACACCATTTTAAGAATAAATACAAACAAGGCATTTTCTCATAAAGCTTAAATCTGATAGCATAAGTGGTAATAAACAACTGATAAAGGTTGTGAAGAAAAGTAAGGCAGAGTATGGAGCCTGACTGTGGAAAGAGGGAAAAGACATGGATGGATATGATGAGCAGGGAAGGCCTCTATAAGTCTTCAATCCTGGTCTTTTCCTAAGGCCCTTATTTTCCTTCCATAATTATGTTAACTAGCCTAAATATAGTTTTCAACTGTTTCTTTTATTGTTGTTTATTTTATTATTTCTAGCACTATATGTTTGTGATGCATAATATTTACATTGTTTTTGGAGATCTGGTACATGTACACAATTATATCTTGATAACTTGGTTACCTTTTCCACCGTACCCTTTTTTCTGCCCCTTTCTCCAGATCCCCTTCCTCATCTTCAAAAAAAGTCTACCTCTATATTTCCTGTTTCTTACTATCTTTATTTTGCTCTTTAAATTACTTATATTTGGGGTTCTCGTACGAGAGAAACTTAATTTGCTTTGTGTGTGTGTGTGTGTGTGTGTGTGTGTGTAGGTACCAATGTGTACAAGTGAAATGCAGGGGAATATTTAGAGGATCCTTTGAAAAGACTATTGGAATAAGAAGTAATATGCTCTTAACATAATGTGCCAACATGTGTTTGTTTTAACTTTCTAATCACATATTCATAAAGTCATACACTGTAATAAAGTGAAAACTGCCTTAGAAATCATTTACTTTTCCTGTTACCCAGGCCACCAACACTATTTTAGAGAAAACAGTTTTAGCAAGGTGAAATCAGTTGTGCAAGATCATATATTTTTTTTAACAATAAAAAATGAAATGATGACATTTAATTCAAGACAAAGACACAAACACAAGTTCTTATTTTTCTTCTTGCTTAGATTAAAATCACTGAAAAAATATTTTTTTAAATAAAAATTATGGTGCCGGAAAATAAAGAAATCCTGATGGAAGCTTAAGAAAATACAAGAAGAGCAAAAGCAGAAAAGATATGATCATTGGAGAAAGTGGAGTAGGGAACACAGAAGAGGCCTGACTACCCAAGAGATCCTCAGAGTCTCCATGCTCAGACTTAACAGCTACAAAACACAAGAGGAGGCCTTGACAAAGGAGGAGTGATTTAAAAAAAAAAAAAAGCAGTGATGAATTACAAAGCCACCCTGGAAACAGGAAGACTTCTTCCATTTACTCCCCTCATTCATGAATACAGAGCAAATGGTGATAAAAGCTGAGAATTTAAACCTAAAGATAAAACCTAGCAACCCTGCACATACCTGCCCAATTAAATGCTGTAAATCTCTGGTTCCTCACTTCTTCCAGACATGGACCAAACACTACAATTCTAGGTGCCCCAAGCAACTGCTAAAGGACCTACGTAAGACAACCCAATGACAGAAGAGTTAAACCAAGCTATAGAGGGCAAATTCTAAATGGGAGATTGTACCTATCAGGACATCAAACAGAAAAACAAAACAAAACAAAACAACCTCTTTTCCTGACTCCCTGGATTTGCTTGAGCAAGGATCTGAAAGATTCCAGAGGATGCAAATACAGGATATCTGTGAGTATGGAGGGGGGCGCCGCTCGTTATTCACACATTGCCACTGAGAATGTAAAATAACGCAACCACTCTGGAAAACAGTCTGGGCATTTCTTAAGCACTAACTGAACAAACATCAGAGGGCCCTGCAACCACAGTGCTGAGCTTATTGCAGAGAAATGAGAACCTGGGTTTTCACAAAAATCTCTACAGGGGGCTGGGGATATAACTGATAGAGTCCTCACCTAGCATACACAAGGCCCTGCGTTCAATTCCTACTACGGTGGGGGGGTGGGGAGAAAGAAGAATTCATAACAGCTAAAAATGTCAATCCCATCGTCCTTTCAGTGGGTGACTGGTTATACTGTGGTATATCTACACCTCTGAATAGCACTCAGTAATAAAAAAGGAACAGACTATTGACACATTTATACCACCAGGAAACACACTTCCTGATACAGAAAATGGGTGATCGGAGTTTACAAAGTTGACAGGCTGGATGAATCTTCAGAGCACAATGCTGAGGAAAAAAAGTCACTCACCCCCCCAAAAAATTACACACTATACAATTCTACTTACATCGAATTCTTGAATTGCAAAAACTGTGTAAAAGGGGAATAATTTTGTGGTTGCCAGGCATTGAGGGAATGGAACTGAAAGGAGTTGGTTAGACAAGAAAAAAGTAACTGACAGGTTCCTTGCGGAATGAAGTGGCCTCTTGGTTCCGTAGGCCAAGTAAAGTAGAGTGGTTTCCAGTGGTCATTTACTAGGGAAAGTGAGTAAAAAATACACGGGGGTCTCTCTGTATTTTCACCAACACGTGTAACTATATCACAATCTGGCAATAAACAATTTAAATATACATGAGACCCACATATTTGGCCAACCCCTTCTTGGAAACCTGGCAGTAGGTCAGTTCCCAGGCTGGGTTTTCCTCCTGGGAAATGGCAATCTCCCGTAATGCAGTCATTCCCCAAATGCCACAAGTACAGGAATTGACTAAGCAGGAGAGCAAGTCAACAACGGAGAAACGCTCAACTACAGACTGGAAACAAAGCAAACAGCAAAAGTAAGCAGCAAAGACAGGGATCCACACAGGGCTCTGATCCGTTCAGTGAGATGCTGATAAAACAGAAGGCTGTGAACAGGCTGTACGAAGGCCCCGTGAAGCAAGCCATGCACATCCCCCACCCAGAGGAAGGGGACCAGCGGCGGCCGGGCTTCCGCACCTCCACTCCACCAGGTGGAGCCCGGGCCACAGGAGCCTCAATGCCACAGGGGTTGCGTTTGTGCACTTCGCCTGAGGAGCACTTAGCCCACTTCCCTGCGCCTCACAGCACAAGAAGGAAGGGTCCCGAGCACCCTTCCCTCTCCGTGTGCTTCAGCCCTGGCCCCTCATCCTCTTGAGAAGGAAAAGGTAAGAACCAGCCCGCCCTCCTTACCCTCCGCCGCCATGACCCACCTGCGGACCTGCGAAGTTCGCCGGCTGCTGCACAACAAGTTTGTGGTGGTCATGGGCGACTCTATCCAGCGCACGGTGTACAAAGACCTGGTTCTCCTGCTGCAGAAGAACTGTCTGCTATCCCCTAGCCAGCTCAAGGCCAAAGGCGAGCTGAGCTTCGAGCACGACGTGCTGCTGGAGGGCGGGAGGTGCGGCTGCATGCACAACAACATCTACTACCGCGAGGTGCGCCAGTTCTGCACCGGCCACCACCTGGTGCGCTTCTACTTCCTCACGCGCGCCTACTCCGCCTACCTGGAGGAGGTGCTGTCCGAGCTGCGTCGGGGCGAATACGCCCCAGACCTGGTGGTTCTCAACTCGTGCCTCTGGGACATCTCGAGGCATGGCCGTCAATTCCCCACAAGGTACCGGGAGGACCTGGAGTGCCTGTTCCGACGCATGGACCGCGTGCTGCCCGAGTCCTGCCTGCTGGTGTGGAACACCACCCTGCCGGTGGCCAATACTGTGTCGGGCGGTTTCCTCCCGCCAGGGGCACTGGCCAGCCTGGATCACCTGAGCGAAGAGGTGATAGAGGCCAACTTCTACAGCTCCTTTGAGGCGGCCCAGCGAGGCTTCGACCTGCTGGACCTACACTTCTACTTCCGCCATGCGGACCAGCACCGGCTGGGCGACGGCGTGCACTGGAACGAGCGTGCGCACAGGCGACTTTCCCAGCTGCTCCTGGCGCACGTGGCAGACGCCTGGGGCGTGAACCTTCCGGGTCACGG